CTTTGTTGGAATGCACGTATGTATGTATGGTGACGAACGATCTCGCATTCTTTCTCGTAAGTTGTCTTTGCTTTTCCATTTTGTTTTGTTCAGTAGATTAGCGTGGTTTCAACTTCGTCGCTTTTTCAGCATTCGGCATCGCAGTGCATGTATCGATCTACGAGTTTGAGTTCTCTCATATCTGGTTGGTGCGCTCACTGCGCGGGATTAGTCCAATCACTTGCGTTCGGCGTGTGTAAGAGATTACGGGAATTACTGGGAATGTATGTCTACTCCTCGAATGTTTGATGGCCCGTTCCTCTGATGCATAAAAGTATAACCAGGGAGGGGCTGTTCTGGTAACGGGGTTGCTGCATAATCGGACAAGTGTGCCAATAGATTGCTCCGCCATTGGGACGCGCAGCTTAGGACTTAACTAATTGGCCAGTGCGTACGCGCGTGGAAGACAGCAATCCATCAACGGATTTGCCATCTACACGCACGCATGCAGGGGCTTGTTACGATCCTGCCACGTAGGAATGATGTGTGTGAGTGAGTCCCGTTGATCCGGATCTGGCGATCGAAACTCCTTTTTGGATTACCGACCGCGAAAGCCTGAGATATCCCGAGTACACGACATATTGGAAAAGGGAACAGATCCGACGACAACAAGTCCGACAGCAACGGATCAGACGGCAACAAAACTTGCGAAAACTTGATTACCCCTGTCGAACTGAACACGAGCGACTGTGTAGGGGCGATTTCCAGTTGGCAATCAACCGGGACTCCCTAATTCCTGAGTATCCCGACAGTAGACACCGGCAATACTTTATCACCCCAGGCTTCGTCGCTATCACGACTAATTTCCCTCCCCATTACATCGTCCTCTTGTATCACCGATTGCTAGTTACCCCCTGGGACTCCATATCCCGATTCTGGCCTCGGCCTCCGTGCCTAGAGTGCCAGCAGCCCAACGAGCATGAACAGACGGAGGTCACGCGTCAGACTCCTCCCCGGAGAGAACGACGAGAACCCAACTCGTCCTCCTCATCAGACTCTAACTCTGCGTTCTGCGTCGGACGACAGAGGTACGAGCATTCCCACAGCGACGCCCGCAACACCCCGTTCGTGCACCCGGCTCTTTCGGCCCCGGCCGCAGGAACAGCGTCCACCCCAACTCTGAGCTAGAGGAACCATTTGCACTTCTACCCCTGAAACTTGATATAGGAGATTCCAGTTCCGACCTATGTTACCGCGCGTTCATTGAACGCGGGTTTCGCGTTCAAGGTATGAACGCAGTGAACACGTGTTCAATGAACGTGCGTGAACGCGTTTGACGCGTTCGCGCAGGGAGGTGGGCGGGGTGGGGTGGTGTTTTGGGCAGTGTGGGGAGCAGCAGCGGTGCTTGGGGGGGTTGTGGGCAACGTGGGGAGCGGCGGCGGTGCTTGGGGGGGCTGTGGGCCAAAGCCCCAAGCGAAACAGGAAAAA